AGGAAGATACCTTCACATTCGTCTTCATTTAAGCTTCTAATTCAAAGTGGTTGGCTCGCTATGATTTTTATAAAATAAATGCTAAACATTCTTGAAACGGAGTGGTAATTTGGTAATTTAGTTTTAATTCTTTACTTAAATATAAAAATTAAAATGAACATTTTAATTACCCGAAATCTGGCATTTACAGTATAAAAATAAATAAAATATAAATCCTTTTTTTGCAGCATAATCGGCACATGAAAAAAGTGGGTGGTAAAGCTACTCGTAAGTAAGTATAAAGTGATGCTACCTGTTACCTAAGAGTACCTAGGAAACATCACTCAAGTATACTCCTACAACCGGAATATGATTCAGGTGAAATGAAACCATGCGTCGTAAAACCTGTTGACTACTGATGATGGAGTCAGCCAGGAAAGTACCGCTGTCACGCTCCAAAACACGTTAGATTAACCCGACCCGCAATCGCTACCTCCAATATCCGTGCCGAATAGAACGTCGCCTCCACCTCCCCTCTTGTTCCCTTTAACCAGCGGAACACCCATATCACCGGGGCAGTAACCTTGCCCGCGATGCCACCGACGCACAATTGTGAGGGTGAAAAAAATCAACCCAAACTTTTAACACCACGCTATCAAGACTACACTTCTTACTTCGACGGCATAATCTTCCTGAGAACGCCTCACTTTCGTACTACACTACGGTTGAGCACCTTAAGCCTACTATAACACAGCAAGTGTTGGGAATCACAAAAGTTCGGTAGCAACACAAAATATGTGATGTATTTGGCCGAGCTGTCCTTTGCTGGCTGTGCACGCTTTTAAGGCTTCAAGATAGAAAATAGTCAATGGGGGCTCAGCACGAGCCCATGTCACAAAGTTCTTCGTCTTCGTTGCACACCTCGGAGCTACAAACGAGCCATCTGTAGCGCATCTTGTGTTGTTCATTCTCGAAGGGCACCGTACACGCCATTGTGTGGAATTTATTCACATCGAAGAACGTGAAAGCGTCAAAGATGGCGTCGGCGTTGGGTGCCTCGGTCGTGATGGTCCTCTCGGACCAGGGGATTTGCTGATGTATTGCAAGTTTGGTAGAGGATCGCCACACATGTGACGGTAGGGCTGTGGTCCATATTACGGAGTGGCCACACAATTTGAGATGGCCTAAATTCACAAATTCTACGTAAATTTCGTGTATGACTACTTGCTGTGACTGACGTGGGAATCTTCTCTTTTGCCTACTCACAAACTAGGTGTCTGATTACGAGTACGGGTTGCACAAGATCAAGCACTGACCTGCCAAAAAAAGGAAAAAGCTCAATAGTTCTCAGAATATGTTCTACCGAGAGATAGCAGAACTTCATCTCCGTCCGATGCAAATCAGGCACGTCGTGGGACGCAATTTTGGGACGCCTCTGCATGACCTCTCAGAAAAAGTGGCCCAGAACTACGTAAACCACTATTCTAGAACTTACCTAGAAAACCATGATAGAGTCGACGATCTCCGGAACTGGATACACGCGAGGGATTTCACAGGAAATGAAGCAAAGGACCAACCCTTCACGTTTGCGTGGAACATGGATAGCGGCGGCAAACTTATAGTTGGTGACGGATCGGATCAACGGTCCTTTGTTGTAGGGACGACGACCAAGGGTCTAGTTATGCAAGTGCTACAGCCGCCCGACAGCTTCATCCAGCACATGGACGCCACGTAGAAGATGGACCACCGAGGGTATCTTGTGGTGGTAATTAGAATCTCGGACCGTGCCAGAGCGTTCCATCTAGTGGCGGTGTTTATTGTATTGCAAGAAAATCAGCTCGTGTTTGAAACTGTTCTTCTTGCGGTTTTCTACTACGTGACTACTCGTGATCTCCAGGTACGATGCGTGATGGCCGACGCGGACCAGGCACAGTACAACGCGCTCAACAGGGTGTTTGGGCACATTCCGGGCTTCTAGTTTTTGATGTTTTTTTTTCTTCATTTTATTAAAACATCATCAAAGCGACTAAAGGGGTTCCCTCTCTGTTGTATGCTGGAGTGATGGAACGTGTATACGTTCTCCACTTTCAAAGAAGTGAATTGGAGTTCTACCGAGCGCGAGACGAGTTAAACGAACTGGTTGGAGAACCCATATTTGTGTGGCTTTGCTAGCTGCATGACAGGTCAATGACTCTATGGGTGCTTTTGGACATGGTAGCGGTTTTGGACGCCTACTAGCTTTGCAGCTACAAACAACCCGGCGGAGACATTTAATGCGCGAGTCAAGCGTGACTATACACTGAGAAGGCGCCTGAAAAAAGATACTCTACTACGCGTGCTACATGATCGCTGTCACGACGTGTCGGCCTCTATGCGTCAATTCAGCTTTGACGTCGCAATTCCACAAACCTTCACACGTCTCTGAGATGGCGAAACAGCCTCTATTTGGTGTCCGGAGCGGGTCTAACCCGGTATCCTAGTGTTGAGACCAAACCACAATTTAAGTACTGTCCATGATGGCGAGTATGCGCAAGTGGCGCCTCACAAATTATCAGAGGGAGGTATAGCTGTGTCCACCCAAATGGGCGTCAACTATGCAAGAATGGAAGTGCAAGGTCGGCCTTGGAGAGGATGGAGTGTTGATGTGGCCCGACGTTTCTGTCCTCGCGGCTACTCGTACGCCTTCATTGCATGTGTGCACCTTGTCTACGCATTACGAACGATAGACCATGCGGACAGTCGTGGGAAAAACTTGCTGGTAAATCGCAACAACCGTAAAAGTCGGGAGCCTGTGACCGGTCCGCAAGGAGGACGACCCCATTTGGTTTGTCCTGCTCTTACTTCGTAGGCGCCCAGAAGCACAGTGCCGGCAAGAACATCGAATACAGAAGGGCACTGTGCTAGGTTACTTGTTGGGGGGAGGGGGACACGTGTGTCAGAGGGTTTTGTCTTGAACCCGCTTTGAATAATTTCATTTGGATATACACGTGTTTGCACATTTCTATAAAATAATGTTCCAGTAGTGCAGGGAGACGTGTGTAGGCCGTAGTCCAAAATGCATTCATACCAATTAGATGAATAGATTGTTGCTACGCGAGTAAGTTGTTGTTTTAACTGGCTTCCAGTACTATCCCGCCGTGTAAGCACACGTTTACTGGAACAGACTAGGCATACATTTGGAGGTTCCATTTTGTTGTACACCATCAGCTGCATGTGCTCTAAACATACTTCCGTGTAGTTGAATGTTGTGTATACTGCGTGTGAAACCTCTAGAACCAATATATCAAGTAGAGCTAAGTTTCAGATAATCTTCGCGAATGCCGGAAAATCTGAAGCGTGCACCTGCAGGTATTCGTCATCACTCCTGACACATCTAGAAAAGGATGATCCTACACGACTGGAAGTATTTTTTTAGAACCGTTTGTACTTTCATGGATGACATGAGTGGTACTCGAGACACACTCCAAAGGGGTCAAAAAATTTGACCCCCATTTAATGATCCCCTTGGCCACGAAAGGGTTAATTCAACTTCTGAAGAATACAATATGTTTTCAGCCAATAGAAAACTTGAACTTAATTTCCACAGATAAACTTGGGCAGTGATTGTATTAAGTAATAGTTTACACGATTCCTTCATGTATTTTTCTATCATATCAGCTTCTGAGGAATATAATATGATTTCATTTAAAGAAGATTTATAATATGATTTCATTTAAAGAAGATTTAAATAACTTCCAGAACCAAATAGTAACACTCTATCTTCCTTTTTGAATTGTAAATATATTCACAATAATCTAAAGTTCCTCCAAGCGCGGGTTGTTGCTCAAATCAGTCCTTCGACACGCGATCGTCATCGCTGCCGTCCCAGCACTTATAACATGCCCATTTAAACCAAGTCACGTTACCATAATGCATTGTTATCTGTGCTCCAGCTTTCACGTTCTTGATCATCCCCACAAGTACATTAACCTTGGACCTGTTGTGGAGCTCCACAAAATCTGCATTCGGCTTGCAGGCGTGACTGATGAAGCTGGTAATAGCACCCGCTTTGACAGACTCCACATTCACAAACTTTGTTTTAGTAGATAGCGTGTTGTACAGCATTGTGTAGCCACTGTTGTGTTTGAGAG